ATTATTTGAATGTCAGCAGACAGCAAGAAGCCTCCCAGATCTCCAGATGCATTTGAGATATCAAAAAAGTACTCCAGAGTGTTGTTCAGCATGGGGGTGAGTAGAAAATGAAGGCTAATCATGTTTTGGGTGTACTATTCCTTTAAGAAATATTTTACTGTAAATTTGGATTAACCCATTGTGGGTGTTTTACTTTTGGGTTTGGGTTTGTTTTTCTTTTAAAAAATAAGGTTCAAAAGTAATTATTTTATCCCCCCGTATTTGTGTTGTTTTTCTCAATAAAGGGATGGGTAATGTTAACATGTTATACTTTTTGTACAGTGATGATTTAGTCTGCAACTCCTTAGTTCCATATTAAGTATGCAATACTAAATCTGAATAGTGTACAGATCAACGACATACATTTTAAAGAAAATAAGGTTGATAGAACCCCGAGCTCACTCAGTTAATTGGTAAGTAAAAGAGGGCTACATGTGGATGGCACCAATGATCTGCATTGGATCGATTTCATGAGATGAAATAAATATATATAAAGATAAAACCAAAGCCAAGTGTAACGAATAAAGTCTGTTTTAAAAATGTAAGGATAGAAAGTACATATGCTTGTGTAAAAATTTAATGAGTAGAAGTGAGAAATAGGAAGAAAAACAAGTAATGGAGTAAAGTATAGATACCTAAAAACTGTACTTAAGTACAGTAACAAAGTATTTGTACTTTGTTACTTGACACCTCTGTCTATAGCTTTATGTGAAAACTTATTACCAACAATGTGATTCAGAAAAGCAAGTGAAATTCATTTATCTGTTGGACCAGTCAGAGATACTTGGTAACGGGAAAAGTTTAATACATGTTATGTCACTCTGGGTGGAGCTAAACACAAAAAGTCCTGTATTTAATGTTGAAGCCAAGAGGAACTAGTTATTGGTCAAGATGGCTCTTCAACAGTTGGCATGTGGGATCATTGTGATGATTGTTTTCCTCTCCAAAGGTAAAAAAAAAACAAAAAAACATTATTTCTATTACTCTTTGCTGTAAATGCTGTCGGGAAAAGGGCACACTGCCTGTAATCACTGAAACGTGTGTTACATTTCAGTGGTAAAAAAAAAAAAAAAAATGTGTGGTGTAGATAGATACTTTATTATTCCCAAAGGGGATTGCATTCATTTTCCAGATTCTAGCATCATAAAACTGATGTTCGCAGCTATATGGAAGTTAAAGGGTTCTTTTTTTTTTCTTTTTTTTTTTCTTAACTTTAAATTAAATGGTTTCTTGCCATTTTTGAGGAACTTTCAAAAAGCATCTAAAATTTATTTGAAATGTATACGGTAATGTAATTGCTTAAATCGGGACCAAAATCTTTGGGTACTCTACTTTGGATAAAACCATAAAACACAAAAATAATACTTTTTTTTTTTTTTGCATTTATTTTTTTCATTTTTTTTTTCTTTTTTTTGATAATCGGTGGTTTACGGTCATTATTCTAGACTCATATCCAGCAGAGCTATTTGGATTTAACCTCTCAAAACCCACCGGATTGCCAGCGCGATTTACAACTAATAACTAAGAATGCATGAAAATTACACAGGTAAAGTGCACACTGAACGCAGACATGGGAGCATGGTAAATTATAAATATGACAAAGCAGCCACAACAAGCAAGCATGTCTTTATTACTGCTGTTCAAAAAAGACCTCTCATTTACGAGAATAAAAAACCACTTCGAGTCTTGTTTGAACTGATGCAGCTTGGCTGTGTTTTACTCACCCCATTTTCATGGTGTTAGTTTTAAAACAATGAATCACACATGTAATTTGGACTTACGGTTTCTAAGATATTTGCTTTTCCATTTGGGTATGCAAAATAGGAGAGAATTTCCCAAAATGAGGCGGATGTTAAGAGGTACTATGGCTTATCTCTCAAAACTGATGCCTAGGCTGCTGCAGTGACACATTTTCCTTTTGTTATCATGTTGACTTCGAATAAAGTAGGTTTCCTTAGAAAAAAAAAAGATCAGTCTGCAATATATTTGACAGATTATAAGGTTAAACTGCAAAACTATAAAAACATGGACATTTTTCACATTTGTCTGATTTTGGCACTACCATGTTACACTTTTGTATACATATTATTTTATGGTAAATTTAATGACGAAAGTGACTTGGTTAGTCATCTTTCACTATTTTAAATTTGGCTCTTTAGTATCTGATATCTTTAATATCTAATATGTGCACTACCTGTTAAGAGTGGTATGTGTGTGTGTAAGTGTGTATTTGTTACACTGTGAAGACCATTTTCCATAAATCTTAGCACACAGTGAGGACCGCTTGCTCCTTGTTGGGACCAATGTCTTGTCCACATTGGTACAAATGCTGTTTTAGGGTTATATGTTAGGTTTAGGACTAGGGTTTGGTATTAACATCTAATTGTTAAGTTTAGACCATGGGTCACAGCATCGCTGTTGAAATGGGTTAGAAATGAATGGAAATCAATGGTAAGTCTCCACTAGGGTAGAGAAATGTGACTGTGAGTGTGGGGGGAATGATAAGCTTTTCAGTTCCAGTGTCTGTGTCTCCGTCTAATGCTGTAAAATATCTCACCTTACCTGTTTGTCTAACATATTTATGTGTTCAAATTTCAGGAATCAACACACAACATGGTAAGAACTAGTCTTTTTTTATGTATTAAACAACAAAAACATTTAATGATATTTTAGTTTTTTTTTACTGCTGTTAATATTTCAAATTTACTGCAAATGTCCCATTGAGCTGAAAAAACGTATTTATTAATTGTAACCCACTATTTTACTCATAAATAAACAATGGCATCATGATCATTTGTTCCTGACTTTGTGAATGTTGTCAGCCTGTGCCAGGTCTCCAATCAACAGTAGGATCCTAGGAGGGCAAGATGCCTCTCCAGGAGCTTGGCCATGGCATGTCACTCTTACCCACAATGGCTGGGTCTTTTGTCAAGGCTCGCTGATCACAGATCAGTGGGTTCTGACAGCTGCCCGTTGCTCAAGAAGGTAAGCAGCTGTGGTTTGGTATTTTTGCTTGTAGGGATAAACACAATGTTTCACATGTACCCAACAGATAGTAATATGTTTGAATATCTTCTGTTGTGCCTCATTCATTTCTCTCGATCAACTCTGCTTCACATTTTTCTTTCTTTAAAAGGGTAAATTTTAAAATGATATATTTAAAAGAGTAAAGCAAGAAGATAAAGTTTTATCTCCACCTATTAATTAATGATTTGAAGGCAATAGAGGTAGATAATGAGGTTATTGTTAATGTGATAATCAGTGGCATTACATTTATTCCATATTATTTGTTCTCTCTTCTCTAAGTTCTTACCTCAGTGGTGCAGTTTTGCACTTGGGTGCAAACAACCAGTCAAGATATGGGGAAGAAACTAGGAGAGTTCACTCAATCGTCTGCCATCAAGATTATGAAGCTTACTATAGTGTCGGTGACAACGACATCTGTCTTTTAAAGATGTCAGCTCCTGTCAACTTTACGGACTACATCCAACCGGTCTGCTTGGCTTCAGAAGAAAGCACTTTCTATGATGGAACTGCCAGCTGGGTCACTGGTTTTGGCTCAAATGGTAAGTCTTGCTTTATTTCTTTACAATCTCTTAATTTATAATACCAGTGTTGAATTCCTCATGAATATCTAACCTTTTTAAACATTTATTTTTAGGACACTATTATTATCCTGATACTTTCCAGGTAGTTGATGTATCAGTTTTTGGGAACAATAAATGCAGCTGCTTCTACAGAAACTCCTACTACTACTACTACTACGGCAACCTCCATTCAATAACAGAGAACATGATGTGTGCTGGAAGTGAGAATGGATCAAAGACTGCATATTATGTAACTACCTGTTTTCTTTTTATTCTTTTCTTTTTTTTTTTTTTCTTTACTAACATATTCTTTTTTTTATGTTTGGTCAAATATTAAAATGACCAAAAATCACAGAATTTGTCAGTTCTTAACTGAAATGAAATAACTGCACTGACTCTCTGTGTTGGCTATAACATAACATTGACTGTGGTTATTTTATGCCTTGCCTCTAGGGGGCCTTTGAGGGGGAAAAAAAGCAATAAATTAAAGCTGCTAATATCTATATTCTCCTAAAAATTATTTCACAGGATGACAACGGGGCAGCTCTAGTGACCAAAAAAGACTCCACCTGGGTCCAAAGTGGGATTGTGAGTTATGT